GGGATATGTGATACGAATGGGAAATGTTCGGTTATTTAAAAGTTATGCATTTTTATGTCTTTTATGATTTTGTATTTAAAATGGTGACTGGCTTTGTCCTGGAGATAATTGAGTTACTTGGTAATTATCTCCAGGGCAGAGGGGAGGGAATCATAATGCACTGTGGGTAAAATCTGTGACTGTGTGTCTGGAATGTCCCCATATCTGTCTGTCATTTAAGTCTCCCATTTGGTCCCCTAGGGGAGTATCCACCAAGCGGGAGACCTGCATAAATACGGGCAGGTAGCCCACAGTAAAGCCAGATCCTGTTTGACCCTCAATGCGGAGCTTCTGTCTCGTTATTGGGGGGATTTCTTCTTCACGTTTAGAGACTGCTGGATGGAACGAAAGCCGCTTGGTGGATATTGTTGTTCGGCGGCTAGCAGCAGTTCGTGTATTGCCATTCGGGAGTTTGGAGCCGTTCACGGATCCCGGTCGGGAGATTGCCGCTTCCCCTGCATTTGGTTCGTGCACTACAGGTTAGGTGAACGGAGTTACTGTTATTTCAGATGGGGAAGGTCTACTAAACGGCGGTTTTGCCTAAAGACACTGGAGGTGTCTTAACACCTGCCAAGTGACCCTATGTAGGGGGAACAGTCTCTATTCTGCTCTGTGTCAGTGTGTATCATGGTCTCTGAGGACAGGTGTCAATCCATACCTGCCAAGTGACCCTATGTAGGGGAAACAGTCTCTATTCTGCTCTTGGTAATTATCTCCAGGGCAGAGGGGAGGGAATCATAATGCACTGTGGGTAAAATCTGTGACTGTGTGAGACTGTTCCTCCTACATAGGGTCACTTGGTAGGTATGGATTGACACCTATCCTAAGGGTCCCTGATACACACTGACACAGAGCAGAATAGGGAATGTTCCCCCTACATAGGGTCACTTGGCAGATATGGATTGACACCTGTCCTCAGAGGATGTGTGTGTGTCTCTGAGGATGAGGACAGGTGTCAATCCATATCTGCCAAGTGACCCTATGTAGGAGGAACAGTCTCTATTCTGCTCTGTGTCAGTGTGTATCATGGTCTCTGAGGACAGGTGTCAATCCATACCTGCCAAGTGACCCTATGTAGGGGAAACATTCCCTATTCTGCTCTGTGTCAGTATGTATCAGGGATCCTTAGGATTGGTGTCAATCCATACCTGCCAAGTGACCCTATGTAGGGGGAACAGTCCCTATTCTGCTCTGTGTCTGTGTGTATCAGGGATCATTAGGATAGGTGTCAATCCATATCTGCCAAGTGACCCTATGTAGGGAGAACAGTCCCTATTCTGCTCTGTGTCAGTGTGTATCAGGGATCCTGAGGATAGGTGGCAATCCATATCTGCCAAGTGACCCTATGTAGGGGGAACAGCCCCTATTCTGCTCTGTGTCAGTGTGTGTATCATGATCTCTGAGACAGTGCTCAACCATAGCCGCTGGCGACCCTATGTAGGAGGAACAGTCTCTATTCCCCTCTGTGGCTCACTGTGTGCATCAGGGCTCTAAGGACAGGTGGCCTTCAATCCATATCTGCCAAGTGACCCTAAGGGAACATTCCCTATTCTGGGTTTCAGGTCAGGGGTGTGTATCAGGGATCCTTAGGATAGGTGTCAATCCATATCTGCCAAGTGACCCTATGTAGGTGGAACAGTCCCTATTCTGCTCTGTGTCAGTGTGTATCATGGTCCCTGAGGACAGGTGTCAATCCATATCTGCCAAGTGACCCTATGTAGGGGAAACAGTCTCTGTTCTGCTCTGTGTCAGTGTCTATCATGATCTCTGAGGACAGGTGTCAATCCATACCTGCCAAGTGACCCTTTGTAGGGGGAACAGTCTCTATTCTGCTCTGTGTCAGTGTGTATCATGGTCTCTGAGGACAGGTGTCAATCCATATCTGCCAAGTAACCCTATGTTGGGGGAACATTCCCTATTCTGCTCTGTGTCAGTGTGTATCAGGGATCCTGATGATAGGTGTCAATCCATGTCTGCCAAGTGACCCTATGTAGGGGGAACAGTCCCTATTCTGCTCGGTGTCAGTGTGTATTAGGGATCATTAGGATAGGTGTCAATCCATATCTGACAAGAGACCCTATGTAGGGGGAACAGTCTCTATTCTGCTCTGTGTCAGTGTGTATCATGATCTCTGAGGACAGGTGTCAATCCATATCTGCCAAGGGACCCTATGTAGGAGGAACAGTCTCTATTCTGCTCTGTGTCAGTGTGTATTAGGGATCCTGATGATAGGTGTCAATCCATATCTGCCAAGTGACCCTATGTAGGGGGAACATTCCCTATTCTGCTCTGTGTCAGTGTGTATTAGGGATCCTGATGATAGGTGTCAATCCATATCTGCCAAGTGACCCTATGTAGGGGGAACAGTCCCTATTCTGCTCGGTGTCAGTGTGTATCAGGGATCATTAGGATAGGTGTCAATCCATATCTGACAAGTGACTATTAGGGAACAGTCCCTATTCTGCTCTGTGTCAGTGTGTATCAGGATCTCTGAGGTCAGGTGTCAATCCATATCTGCCAAGTGACCCTATGTAGAGGTAACAGTCCCTATTCTGCTCTGTGTCAGTGTGTATCTGGATCTCTGAGGATAGGTGTCAATCCATATCTGCCAAGTGACCCTATGTAGGGGGAACAGTCCCTATTCTGTTCTGTGTCAGTGTGTATCAGGGATCCTTAGGATAGGTGTCAATCCATATCTGCCAAGTGACCCTATGTAGGGGTAACACTCCCTGTTCTGCTCTGTGTCAGTGTGTATCATGGTATCTGAGGACAGGTGTCAATCCATATCTGCCAAGTGACCCTATGTAGGAGGAACAGTCTGTTTTAATACTGTGTCGGTGTATCAGGGGATCCTTAGGACAGATGTCAATCCATATCTGCCAAGTGACCCTATGTAGGGGGAACAGTCTCTATTCTGCTCTGTGTCAGTGTGTATCATGGTATCTGAGGACAGATGTCAATCCATATCTGCCAAGTGACCCTATGTAGGGGGAACAGTCCCTATTCTGCTCTGTGTCAGTGTGTATCAGGGATCCTTAGGACAGGTATCAATCCATATCTGCCAAGTGACCCTATGTAGGGGGAACAGTCTCTATTCTGCTCTGTGTTAGTGTCATGGTCTCTGAGGACAGGTGTCAATCCATATCTGCCAAGTGACCCTATGTGGAGACAGTCCTATTCTGCTCTGTGTCAGTGTGTATCAGGGATCCCTAGGACAGGTGTCAATCCATATCTGCCAAGTGACCCTATGTAGGGGTAACAGTCCCTATTCTGCTCGGTGTCAGTGTGTATCAGGGACCCTTAGGACAGGTGTCAATCCATATCTGCCAAGTGACCCTATGTAGGGGAACAGTCTCTATTCTGCTCTGTGTCGTGTGTATCAGGGATCCCTAGGACAGGTGTCAATCCATATCTGCTAAGTGACCCGATGTAGGGGGAACAGTCTCTATTCTGCTCTGTGTCAGTGTGTATCATGATCTCTGAGGACAGGTGTCAATCCATATCTGATAAGTGACCCTATGTAGGAGGAACAGTCCCTATTCTGCTCTGTGTCATTGTGTATCAGGGATCCTTAGGACAGGTGTCAATCCATATCTGCCAAGTGACGATATGTAGGGGGAACAGTCTCTATTCTGCTCTGTGTCAGTGTGTATCATGATCTCTGAGGACAGGTGTCAATCCATATCTGCCAAGTGACCCGATGTAGGGGGAACAGTCCCTATTCTGCTCTGTGTCAGTGTGTATCATGGTCTCTGAGGACAGGTGTCAATCCGTATCTGCCAAGTGACCCTATGTAGGGGGAACAGTCTCTATTCTGCTCTGTGTCAGTGTGTATCATGGTCTCTGAGGACAGGTGTCAATCCATATCTGCCAAGTGACCCTATGTAGGGGGAACAGTCTCTATTCTGCTCTGTGTCAGTGTGCATCATGATCTCTGAGGACAGGTGTCAATCCATATCTGCCAAGTGACCCTATGTAGGAGGAACAGTCCCTATTCTGCTCTGTGTCATTGTGTATCAGGGATCCTTAGGACAGGTGCCAATCCATATCTGCCAAGTGACCCTATGTAGGGGGAACAGTCTCTATTCTGCTCTGTGTCAGTGTGTATCATGGTCTCTGAGGACAGGTGTCAATCCATATCTGCCAAGTGACCCTATGTAGGGGGAACAGTCCCTATTCTGCTCTGTGTCCCTGTGTATCAGGGATCATTAGGATAGGTGTCAATCCATATCTGCCAAGTGACCCTATGTAGGGGGGACAGTCCCTATTCTGCTCTGTGTCAGTGTGTATCAGGGGCTCTGAGGACAGGTGTCAATCCATATCTGCCAAGTGACCCTATGTAGGGGGGACAGTCCTATTCTGCTCTGTGTCAGTGTTTATCAGGGATCCTGAGGATAGGTGTCAATCTATATCTGCCAAGTGACCCTATGTAGGGGGAACAGTCCCTATTCTGCTCTGTGTCAGTGTGTATCAGGGATACTTAGGACAGGTGTCAATCCATATCTGCCAATTGACCCTATGTAGGGGGAACAGTCTCTATTCTGCTCTGTGTCAGTGTGTATCATGGTATCAGACAGTGATCAATCCATATCTGCCAAATGACCTATGTAGGGGGAACAGTCCCTATTCTGCTCTGTGTCTGGTGTGTATCAGGGATCCTTAGGACAGGTGTCAATCCATATCTGCTTAGAGTGGCCCTATGTGGAGACAGTCTATTCTGCTCTGTGTCAGTGTGTATCATGGTCCCTGAGGACAGGTGTCAATCCATATCTGCCAAGTGACCCTATGTTGTGGAAACAGTCCCTATTCTGCTCTGTGTCAGTGTGTATCAGTGATCATTCGGATAGGTGTCAATCCATATCTGCCAAGTGACCCTATGTAGGGGGAACAGTCTCTATTCTGCTCTGTGTCAGTGTGTATCATGGTCCCTGAGGACAGGTGTCCTTCCATATCTGCCAAGTGACCCTATGTAGCGGGAACAGTCCCTATTCTGCTCTGTGTCAGTGTGTATCAGTGATCATTCGGATAGGTGTCAATCCATATCTGCCAAGTGACCCTATGTAGGGGGAACAGTCCCTATTCTGCTCTCTGTCAGTGTGTATCATGGTCTCTGAGGACAGTAGGGGGAACAGTCTCTATTCTGCTCTGTGTCAGTGTGTATCATGATCTCTGAGGACAGGTGTCAATCCATATCTGCCAATGACCCTATGTAGGGGGAAGAGTCCCTATTCTGCTCTGTGTCAGTGTGTATCAGGGATCATTAGGATAGGTGTCAATCCATATCTGCCAAGTGACAATATGTAGGGGGAACAGTCCCTATTCTGCTCTGTGTCAGTGTGTATCAGGGATCCTTAGGACAGGTATCAATCCATATCTGCCAAGTGACCCTATGTAGGGGGAACAGTCTCTATTCTGCTCTGTGTTAGTATGTATCATGGTCGCTGAGGACAGGTGTCAATCCATATCTGCCAAGTGACCCTATGTAGGGGGAACAGTCTCTATTCTGCTCTGTGTCAGTGTGTATCATGGTCCCTGAGGACAGGTGTCAATCCATATCTGCCAAGTGACCCTATGTAGGGGAAACAGTCTCTGTTCTGCTCTGTGTCAGTGTCTATCATGATCTCTGAGGACAGGTGTCAATCCATATCTGCCAAGTGACCCTATGTAGGGGGAACAGTCCCTATTCTGCTCTGTGTCAGTGTGTATCAGGGATCATTAGGGTAGGTGTCAATCCATATCTGCCAAGTGACCCTATGTAGGGGGAACAGTCTATATTCTGCTCTGTGTCAGTGTGTATCAGGGATCCTGAGGATAGGTGGCAATCCATATCTGCCAAGTGACCCTATGTAGGGGGAACAGTCTCTATTCTGCTCTGTGTCATTGTGTATCAGGGGCTCTGAGGACAGGTGTCAATCCATATCTGCTAAGTGACCCTATGTAGGGGGAACAGTCTCTATTCTGCTCTGTGTCAGAGTGTATCA